ATGGACCTCTGTTTTTTTTTTCCATCTCAAAATGAATAAAAATGACACAGGCATAGTTTAAAAATACCTGTTGCAACATATAGCCATGGTCAGGTAGATCCAAACTGGGCGTATTCTATGGGATAAAGCCATCTATGGATACACACCTATACCTGAACAGGGGTCCATCACTATGCAGGTGTATTTCAGAAGATATAATTGATACCAGTCGTGTACATCCCCTGCACTGTGAAGATATTCATTCTCTTTCAAACCTTTTCTTCCATTTGTTGCAATCAATACTATTTCTTATATGGATTGACTTGCCTGAGAAACTGAATTGGATTGAGAAGATAAATGAAAGAAAAGAAAGATGACTAACTGTTACTATGACCTGAACAAAGAAAAAAGAATTAAAACAATGACAATGCACCTGGCAAGGAAGACTGAATTTGTGTGGAATTAGACAAAAGCATTATTACATGAAAAAGGTAATTAAACAATTTTCAAAGGTATTTTTCTGTGTTCCAGTTAGCATTTGCTGCTCACTGCATCATTTTATTCCATACTAACACTTTATGGCTTATATTTTCTTGCTGATCTGCATTTATGAATCTTACTATTAAAAAATCCATTGATTAGAAAAACGTGAGTTAATTTATCATATGTAAAAGATATAAATATGGGTAATGGACCTTGTTCCTTAATAATTTTTTCGCATGTACCTAAAATAGCACAAACATCAAATAATTCAAAGATTTTTTCAGATTAACATTATGCAGTATTAAGAAAAATAATTCTATGCTTCTCATTTATGTCCCTCACTCTATCACATCACATATCCCCTTAATTTCTTCACCCTATTACCCCTTACATCACATCAAATAACAATAATTACCAATGAAACATTAAAAAAAACTATTTTGCATTAAACAAAAGTGGGTCATGAAAGTGTGGAAACCTGCTGTGTATCTTGAACAACTGGCTTTCTGTACTTTGCCTGCACCCACACCCTGTACATTGTAAGCTGTTTGCCTCTATTCACTTGCAAACGTCTGTCTACTAGGTTCTGTACCTCCTCAAGGCCGGCATCAGTCATGAGCTTTCGTATGTCATCTGAAAAAATAACAAATATAACAATATATGAGAGAGAGAGAGAGAGAGAGAGAGAGAGAGAGAGAGAGAGAGAGAGAGAGAGAGAGAGAGAGAGAGAGAGAGAGAGAGAGAAGAGAGAGAGAGAGAGAGAGAGAAGAGAGAGAGACAGAGAGAGAGACAGAGAGAGAGAGAGAGAGAGAGAGAGAGAGAGAGAGAGAGAGAGAGAGAGAGAGAGAGAGAGAGAGAGAGAGAGAGAGAGAGAGAGAGAGAGAGAGAGAGAGAGAGTGAGAGAGAGAGAGAGAGCAGTGAGAAGAGAGAAGAGAGAGAAGAGAGAGCAGTGAGAGGAGAGAAGAGAGAAGAGAGAGAAGTGAGAGGAGAGAAGAGAGAAGAGAGTGCAGTGAGAGGAGAGAGGAGAGAAGAGAGAAGAGAGAGCAGTGAGAAGAGAAGAGAGAACAGTGAGAAGAGAAGAGAAGAGAAGAGAGAGAAGAGAGAGAAGAGAGAAGTGAGTAGAGAGAAAAGAGTAGAGAGAAGAGAGTAGAGAGAAGTGAGAGGAGAAGAAAAGAGAGAAGAGAAGAGAAGAGAAGAGAAGAGAAGAGAGAAGATGAGAGAGAGAGAAGAGAAAAGAAGAGAAGAGATACATCATATTTACTTTCTGTATGAGATCCATCAAGCATATAGTTCCACAGCTTTCCCTTACTCCTACCCAGTTCTAGAGCTCTAACTTAAAAACCACCGATTCTCCTGCAACCGAATCACAAGACAGAAGCTCACCTTGCGTAAAAAAGTAACAGCGAGTACCGTCTCCACGACTGTAAAAGTTGTCAGACAGGCAGCGCCCCTTCTTGAAACGGAGCTGAGCCAAGTCGTAACGGCCGTAGTCTCGGAACAAGATGAGGCCTCCAGGACGAAGGTAGTCAGCCATCGTCCTCACAGTGTGGTCAAACCTAGTAAAGAAAATGAACTTGTAAGTTGCAGACCAGTAATCAAGGGAGAAGGAAGGAGGGAGGGAAGAAGGGAGAGAAGGAGGGAGGGAGGGAGGGAGGGAGGGAGGGATGAAGGAATGAAGGGAGAGATGGAAGGATGAAGGTATGAAGGGAGAGATGGAGGGAGAGATAGAGAGAGAGGGAGAGGAAGAGGGAGAGGGAGAGGGAGGAAGAGTAAGAGACCTCTATTCCTTCATGGACTGATAACTAAATTTCATTTGTTTAGAGCAGCTGAAGCTTCTTATTTTTCTTTCTTCATTTTAACATTATAACATAGAAAGAACACATTATGACAAAACAATGACGAGAAGAGCAAGGAAAATAACAACCATGTCTGGATAAAATTCCATAAACCTACTTGTCAGGATTCAAGGCCGACAGCACAAAAATGCACACAATGACGTCCAGGCTGTTCTTGGGGAACGGAGCACCCCAGTCTTCACTTGTAATGTCGCAAACAAAGGCTCTGCAACTGAAGAAATAATATTTGGATTAATAGCTGGACTTAGGTGTTATTTTTAACACTGTTATGTATATAAACATTTTCTTTTATAGATAAGCTGGACTCTTGTGTTTACTTGTTAAGTTATGTGAAAGGCCGAAGTAAATATTAATAATATATAATAACAATAACAATAATAATAATAATAACATTAACAACAACAATAATGATAACAATAATAGTAAAAAAAAAAAAAAAAAAAAAAAAAAAAAAAAAAAAAAAAGAGGCACTTATTTTAAGAAAACTCATACTAACCGGTCTGTGTCATAGTCTGGGGACTCCTTTACAATGTCCACTGCCGTGCTTGAAAAATCACAGCAGTACATAAAAAGCCCCGGGTCATTGTTCACTTTGAGGATCGGGAACACCGTATTCCCGACGCCACACCCGACTTCCAGGACCCGATGACTAGACTTCTCGCCCGGGAAAGACTCGCCACTTCGCAACGCTTTCCTCAGCTCGTTCCTCTTTTCGGGGTCTTCTCCACCTCCCCCCCTCGCGCCGCTTATCGGGTTATCCCCATTTCCTCCGTTACATTCACTCTGTTCGACCTGATGCGTTTCTTCCGTTGTGCTTTGCCTCTTTGGGCTGGTACTTCCCTCAGCGCGTTGGCTTTGGTCCACTTCGCTTAATTGCTGCTTGGCTGGCACTTGACCCTTGCTGGCACTGGCTGGAATGTTGTCGGAGTCTGCTTCCTCCCCTGGCTGGATCTTGCGAGGGAACGTATGCGCTAAGTGTGGCGCCAGCTCTGGAAACTCGGTAAAGAGCCAGTGGCGATCCTTGAAAAACCTGGGAAAATTTGTATGGTTATAATATCATGTTCACTAGTATATATACATATAGAAATAGAAATATAAAATAAAATTTCATAAATAAAAATATATGAATATAAATATATAAATGCAAATATAAATATGATTATATAAATATACATAAAAATTGATGTATAAATCTATCTATCTATCTATCTATATCTATCTGTGTGTGTGTGTGTGTGTGTGTGTGTGTGTGTGTGTGTGTGTGTGTGTGTGTGTGTGTGTGTGTGTGTGTGTGTGTGTGTGTGTGTGTGTGGTGTGTGTGTGTGTGCGTGTGTGTGTGCGTATGCGTGTGCGTATGCGTGTGCGCATGTGTGTGCGCATGTGTGTGCGTATGTGTGTGCGTGTGTGCGTATATGTGTGTATGCGTATATGTGTGTGTGCGTGCGTGCGTTTGTGTGTGTGTGTGTGTGTGTGTGTGTGTGTGTGTGTGTGTGTGTGTGTGTGTGTGTGTATGTGTGTGTGTGTGTGTGTGTGTATAAATGAGTGACCATATATATTATATATATATATATAAATATATGCGTATGTGTGTGTGTGTGTGTGTATAAATGTGTGTCCATATATATCATTTATATATATATATATATATATATATATACATATATATATATATATATATATATATATATATTCATATTCATATATTTATATATTTATATATTTATATATTTATATATTTATATATTTATATATTTATATATTTATATATTTATATATCTATATATTCATATATCTATATATCTATATATTCATATATTTACATATCTATATATTCACATATTTATATATCTATATATTCACATATTTATATATCTATATATTCACATATTTATATATCTATATATTCATATATTTATATATCTATATATTTAAATATTTATATATTTAAATATTTATATATCTATATATTTATTTATCTATATATTCATATAATTATATATCTATATACCTATCTCATATACAAACATGTACATACATATGTACACTGATATTCAAATTGAATTACATCTATCAAATTACACTGACAGTTTATAGCCAACATTGTCACTAATTCTTATCCTGAAATACCTATTCTGGTGGATCCCATAGAAGGCGTCCCAGTGAAGTGCTGCTTCCTCTTCCAACTTCTGGATTTCCTCTGGAGTTAGCGTTACCTCGGAATTTTCTTGTACTTTCGCCAGTGCCGCTGTTTCTTGCGTGTCGTCCCATACAACATTGTCCCTGCCAATTTTAAACATGGTCTTATTCTGTGGCTTTTACAGTTTTTTTTTTCTCTCTCTCTCTTTGGGCCAGTCTATGTGATATAATAAAATCTACATAACTATACTAAACAGTCATTTTCCTTCTTTTTTTTTCTACAGATAAAAATCATCCTTGTATATGTACTGTATATTACGTATCTGTATTTCCATAGTATTTTCCCTAATGTTGGTGTCTAATAATCCTTACCAATTGTTCTGCGTAAAGACAAGGCTCCAGTCTTTCAGTTCCCTCCCCCCTCCCGGTGGCCGCTGTCTTTTGCAAGCTTCACAGCTCAGCTTCCGACCCCAGAGGTCTGTCCTGCACTTTGTTACGTCCAACAACAATCTGACCAAGATCGCGTGTGTCCTAAATCCTGCAAAGCACGGGGCTATCACTAAATCTTATTTGAGTTATGTGTCTAAATTTAAATCATATAAAACTGACTACAGACCCCCACAGCCATAATAAATGCAACAAGTGTCGTCTGGTCTATTGATATTACTTCGCTGTTCTGCTACTCTAGCTTAGTAATAGTAATAGTACTAGTAATGATAATGATGATTTGAAAAAAATCATGATAACTCCATAGCTGCTTATTAAAGAAACGCTTACATTAACCCAAGCTACTGCCTTGGTTTCCACGCATTTGGCCCTCAGGCAAAGACAACTAACTCCTACAAGAATATTATTGCAAAACTGAGTCTGCAGAACTCCCAGATATTTTATTCTCGAATGAAGAAGCACTCCCAGCTCTATCTGGCCAGAACATAAGCCAGAGAATCTCACTGCATTGGGTGAGGTCATGGTAATTATAGGTCATTTAGATTCAAATAGATAGAAAAGATATTCCATTTCTAATTGGACTTCCATACCCCTTAGCGTCAAAATAACCCAACAGTGATAAACATAAAGGAGGTAAAGATTATAAGGAACACAGGATATAACACTACTAAGCATGATAAAATAATCAATAATTCGTAAAGCTGCAAAACCTTTCGCCGATGTCCACAACCCTATGCTCACGGGACTAAATCCAATAACCTCTATCTCTACAAAAGGCAACCAAGCTCGACTAGATAAAACCAGGCATGACGCAGCTTGTAGACCTCCATTTTAGCAATTTATCGTCAAAAATTAAATTGGTTAGTCCTTGTTAGACTTGTTGGCCTTTGCCAGAGTGCGAAGTCCTCTTCTAAACTATACCCTAGAGCTACCACATCACAAAGGCCCACGTTCCAAATAAAGATATCTCATTCCACATTCATCCATCTAATATACCTGATAATGTTAATAAAGATAAAAGTGATGAATAAACACTAATGAACAGAGGGTGACAAAGACTGACTACAATGCATTAAATCCCAATTCAGTAACAACCCATAAAACCCCACCTCCCACCCAAATAAAACCAAAACCAAAGGGGGAAAGAAAAAGAAAAAGAAAAGAAAAATGATCCCAAAGACACCTACCACGCATTATGTTCAAAGACATTTTTCTTATCCTTAAGGAACCTCGCCCCGAACTGCGGCCTCTTCCCCGGCAGGTTCCTCGCCCCCTCCTCGCTCATTTCTTTCTCTCTCTTTAATTCTGGCTGTGTTTTTTTTTTCTTTCTTTTCTTTCTCTTTAAATCTCTTTTTTTTTCTTGGATTTCCAGTCTGTTTCTTTCCTTAGAATGAAGAGAGGTGTATTTTTGTGGGTGTTTGGTGTGAAGTGGAGAATCGGTTTGTTTGGGAAACACGTTGGGTCCGCGTGTCGGGCGTGCTGAGGGGGAGGGAGGGAGGGGAGGGGGAGGGGAGAGGGGGAGACGTCGGGGGAGGGGAGAGGGAGGGGAGAGGGAGGGGAGAGGGAGAGGAGAGGGAGAGGGAGAGGGAGAGGGAGAGGGAGAGAGAGAGAGAGAGAGAGAGGAGAGAGAGAGAGAGAGAGAGAGAGAGAGAGAGAGAGAGAGAGAGAGAGAGAGAGAGAGAGAGAGAAAGTAGAGAGAGAGCGAGCGAGCGAGAGCGAGAGATTGAGAGAGAGAGAGAGAGAGAGAGAGAGAGAGAGAGAGAGAGAGAGAGAGAGAGGAGAGAGAGAGAGAGAGAGAGAGAGAGAGAGAGAGAGAGAGAGAGAGAGAGAGAGAGAGAGAGAGAGAGAGAGAGAGAGAGAGAGAGAGAGAGAGAGAGAGAGAGAGAGAGAGAGAAAGGAGAGAGAAAGGAGAGAGAAAGGAGAGAGAGAGAGAAAGGAGAGAGAGAGAAGGAGAGAGAGAGAAGGAGAGAGAGAGAGAGAGAGAGAGAGAGAGAGAGAGAGAGAGAGAGAGAGAGAGAGAGAGAGAGAGAGAGAGAGAGAGATTCTTCTGCGATTTACGAAGTTCTAGGTTCGCCCTGGCCTTCTGGCTATGGCCCGGCCTATGTCAGCATTTTATGGCTGTCTCATTTTGCCTTCTGACACTTGATGCTTACCGTGGCGGTGGGATTGCCAGGAGGCGCTCCTGGCGCCATGGTGTAAGCGTACCACATAGCCTTTTTACTAGCACGGCGGCTGTTGTCGGCGGTCCCTGCCTCAGGAATTGTGTATGCTCACAATTCTCTAAGTAATGAGCAAGTGTGGCGTTCGGTTCGACGCAATGCATGCAACTCCTCACTTCATGGTTTATGGTCTCGATTATCTGCCATGCACAGTGGAAACCTAGACGCATTCTGTGAAGAATGACTTCGGTACCTCTGTTGTTTATTTCAAGGAGTGCCAGTGGTTCATAGCCTGTGACGTCTGAGTACCATCTGGCCGAGGGGGAGGATCTCGTTGCCTCTCTGTGAAGCTGCAGGAGGAAGGATTTGGCGACACCAGTACCCTTCCCCAGAAGTAATTTTCGGCTAGGTCTTATGATCATGGGGTTAGGGGGCATACCCCTGCCAGTGACGGCTAGTCTGTCGGCAAACTCGTTCCCTCTGATGCCAATGTGACTGGGGACCCAGTGATGATTATGCTTCTACCCTGGGCAAGAATTCTTTGGGCTATGTTAAGTATCGTTGTCAGGAGGTAGATGTTGTCTTTGGGTGAGCTGTGCTGAAGACAGTCAATGGCTGCCCTGGAGTCAGTGTGTATGACCACGTGTCCTTCCCTTAGGGACGCGTGAAATAGGGCTCCCATGATCGCAACTGCCTCTGCCTGTAGCGAGGAGGCGTTGTCTTTACCCTCATGGGTTGCATGTCATCCCTTGCTGCAAAGCCGGCGCCTGCAGTGTGGCTCAAGGGATCGACCGATCCGTCCGTGTAGTATGTTCTACTACCCTGTAGGTTTCTTCTTTTAGGCCAGACGTGGGGTATTCATTCTTTTTCACTGCTGGTCTCATTACAGAGATCTCTATCGAGGTTTGTGCCCACGGCGAGGCTTCGACAAAGTCAGGGTGGGGGGAGTCCATGCCCGTCTCTAGGAGCTGTTCTTTGAGCTGATGGCGTATTAACACCCTGGCTGTGTGAGACAGCCAGGAGTTGTTTGCAAAGAGCTCGTTGTCTTGTTCAAGGCGTCTGGCTAGTTTCTGTCTTAGGCTTGTGTTCCTGGGAGCCTGGATGACCTTTGACAGGAAATGTGTTGACATTAGATCAATTCGTGAGTCTAGGGGGAGAAGGTTGGCCTCCATCAGGAGGTTGAGGGTCTTTGTCCACCTCGGGGCACCCAGAATGATCCTGGCGACTTCATTTTGGACTGTCTTTTTTTCTCTGTATCTTTTCTTTGTGGAAGTTAGAGCGACTGAGGCATAGTCCACAATGGGCCGGACAGCGTGTATATAGAACGATCTTAGCACTTTGTGTCTGGCCCCCGTCTCCCAGTCATTGCTCTCATGACAGACAGTCTTGATTTGGTTCGCTCAACCAGGTACTGGACCTCCTTCTGGAAGGAGAGGGTCTGGTCTATCCTCCTCCTCACTCATCCTCAGTCCAAGTCCACTCCCTGGATTTTCAGACGTGTGCCTAGAAGTTTTCGTCTCGGAGCCATGGCTTTGGATTTGGCTGCAGAGATCTTTAGTCCTTTCCTACAGCACTCCTCAGAAACGAGGTCCAGACAACGCTGGGCTTTTTTTAGGCAGTGTGATCCAGAGGAGGTGATGGCAAGATCGTCTGCATACGAGATGATTTTGCACCCCGCTGGGAGGTGTCGAGGATGCAGGATATTAGGACGTTGAATAGGGTTGGACTGAGAACCCCATCCTGTGGTGTTCCATTCTCTAGTGGCATTTGCTGTGATAGGTGACCCTGGAATTTGACTCTGGCTGTTCTGTTCCTGAAGTAGTCACCTATCCAAGCCAAGAGCTTTCCTCTGATTCCCTTCCGGATCAGGCTCTCCTGAATGGCAAGAGGACTTGCTAGTTCAAAGGCATTCCCCAGGTCAAGGAATACTACCACAGAGGGCATTTGATGAAGGGAAAGAACTGTGGATTCAAAGTGGTCCAAAACCATCGCTGGGCAACACTGTGAAGCGAGAGGAATAATTCTTTGTCACTTTTGTCATTCATGTCATCGGAAGGGATCCCTTACAACGACTCATAATTTTGAGTCCACATTTACAACTACCTGTTTTAGTAAAAGAAAGAAAGACAGAAAGAAAGAAAAAAGGATGACAGAAATCGCTGTCACAAAGAGTCACAAATCACAAGTTGAAAACACACCTATAAATAATATATTCTCGAGGAATAAGCATAAATCTGACCAAGAAAACCGAAAGCGTTCGGTTATGACTTTGTTCCTTCATAGGCGGGGGCTTGCTATAACAGGACACACAGAAGTAGAGGGAAATCGTTGGCAACTAATAAGACCCAATGACCTTGATCCTAAGCACCTGGTAGACTTGGGTTCCAACTACACGTCTCCTGAGATTATCTATGAACTCATAACTTTGATGGGACATTCTGTTCTACGTGTTATTGTGAAGAAAATCCAAAAGAGTAAGTTTATGGTCATTTAAGGCAGTGGAAAGTTCTGCATATCGATTCGCTTGGATGACAATAGCGTGAAGATTTATACACTTTGTTGGAATGGTCAATGTTCCCAGCGTAACCATTGAAACCCTATGGATTGTCTTGAAAGATGTATTAGTCCGTCTTGCACTACTATTAGAGCACTGCCGTGGACAAGGATATGACGGAGCTGCAAATATGCAGGGAAGAATAAAAGGACTCACAACGAGGATAATGAAGGAAAACCCTTTAGCACTGAATTTCCTCTGTTTCAACTTGTGCTTCTAAGATTTCACTCGAAAGTGTCCAGTAATTAAAGATGCTCTTGACTTGGCACAGAAAATCTTACAGCTCATGAAGCTTTCCTCCAAGCGAGGTCTCTTCAAATCCAAGCAGGAGAGTTCTGGCCCACATGTTTCCGGACATCTCAAGCCCTTATGGCCAAACAGATGGACTGTCCGTGCTAATAACAAAAGTTACCAAGAAAGAGACCCAAAAGTACCCCCCCCCCCCCCAAAAAAAAAAAAAAAAAAAAAAAAAAAAAAAAAAAAAAGACTTGATGATGGCAGCACACTTCCCATCAGATAATGAGAAACATTACTGCACTCAGTACTGTGAAGTACTAGATTTGATTAACTGTGAACTCCTTGATCGTTTTCAGAGTACCAGCGACAACATTCTTCACGAAATGGAAACTATAATGATAACATCAGCTAATGGAGATGTAGGAGAAATACCAGTCACTGACCATGAACTCCAAAGATTTTGATGACGAAATTTACTCAAGAACTTCTCATGCTTAAAACCTCTGTCGGAGAAGGTGGTGGTCCTAGCAAAGTGACTACCATAGCTACAGTAATTAACGCCTTGCAGTCACTGGAAAATAATCCTGTTGCTACGACCACGGTCTCTCCACCTAATAAAACTCATAGAGATTTACCTCACCGTCCCAGTAACCACAGCCACAGAATTTTTTTTTTTCAACTCTTTGTAGGATCAAAAAGCTATCTTCGGTCCACTATATCTCGAAATAAGACTTAATAACGTCTTGCTCCTGCATGCTCATAAAAGGGTCTAACCTATGAACTCTAAGCAAAGCAAATTGCCATAGATTTTATCAGAAAGAATAATGGCATATATCATTAGGACAATTAACCTCTGAAAACTGTGGCAGATATTGTTTTTAAGCATATATTTTACATAATTTGGCAATTTAATCTTGTCCATTGCCCTCCCACTTGTTAGGAGGTTCCCACGCCCCTGTGTGTGTATGTGTTTTATCTGTTTGTGTGCGCGTGTGCGTGTGTGTGGGTATGTGTGCATTTGAGTTTAGGTATATATTTATGTATTTGAGTATTTGTGTGTATTTTGCTTGTATGTTTATTATTATTATTATTATTATTATTATTATTATTATTATCATTTATTATTATTATTATTATTATTTTTTTTGGGGGGGGGGTATGTTTGTAAGTATTTTTAACGTGTGTTTGTTGGGTGTGTTTGTTTGTTTATATTTGTTCATTCGTATATGTTTGCATCAGTGTTTGGTTATGCGTGTGCGTTTGTATGTTTGTTTTAGTGTGTGTGTTTGTGTCCGTTTATGAGCGCTTGTTTATTTGTTAGTTTTTGTTTGAATATTTGTATGTGCCAATGTATATTTGTTTAATTTGTGTTTTTTTTATCATTAACTGAGTGTTTTCGTGTGTTTGCTTGTATTAACTGTGCACTTGTATGTGTTTATGTCTTTGTGTTTGTGCAAGTTAGTGTGTGTGTGTGTGTGTGTGTGTGTGTGTGTGTGTGTGTGTGTGTGTGTGTGTGTGTGTGTGTGTGTGTGTGTGTGTATGTGTGTGCGAGCACGAGTGCGTGTGTGGGCGCGTGCGTTTTTTTTTTATGTGGGCGTATGTTTGTGTATGTGTCTGTTTGTATTTGCGTTTGTTTGTGTGTTTGTGTTTTTAGCGTGCGTTTCTCTTGTGTGCCTGTGAGTTCTGCATGTGTTGATGCTTTTGTCTATGCATATGTGCATGTGTATGTGTATGTAAATGTGTATGTGGGTCGTGAAGTGTGCATGTGTGGGTGTCTGTCCCTAGGAGCCAACGTGTATGTGCATGTGTTTGTGGTGTGGACCAGATAGCAGATTACAAACTCACAAAGGTATTTTACCCCTTGAGGCAAACTTTCACATGCCGTATGCCTTCCCAACACGTAGTATCCGACTAGGCCAGTATTATCCAGGACTAAATGCTGCCCACGGAAACCTTAACTCTATTGGACAAGCTATTATAGTAGAGGAGCTGGTGGATCTGTAGTATTGAGCTTGCTGTGGAAAAAAAAACCTTCACTGGGACCTCAGCCTTGACAGGTTCAAATGGACCTTAATAGGCAGTGACTGTCACACCCTACTCAGGGATGACTTCTTGTAACAGGCTGCTAATTGAACCCCATTGGTAAACCCTCTGAAATAGTATCCCTCTGCACCCCACTGCTCAAAAGCTGCAAGAAGGGCAGCTGTCTTCAGCAGTTCTTCAATCAATCACCACCAAGCCTTCTCATAACATCCTATAAGAGCTCACCTTCCTTGTAGACCCGTCATAAACTATCCTAATGCAAATAATTCTCAGCCTAGTGCCTTCTTTGTCTTCTTGGCTGGAAGTCATTGGCATTCCTGGGATGGAGTGTATCTAGCGATTTCTGCACCAGCTGATAGTGTCCAGGCAATCAACAGTGTTCCTAGACCACTGAACACACACACACACACACACACACACACAAAATCATTGTTACCTTAGTCAAACTATTACATGTGGTTCATACTAGTGTGTGACAACATCTTTAATTCCCTCAACCAGATGCTGACAGCCCCAAAGAATGAACAGCATGTGTCCCTTGACTGAACACAGGAAGCAGACAGGGTGTTTTCAAGTTCAAGATGACCTATGGATCTGCTGCAGTGC